CTTTTATTTCACATTGACGCTGGATAGATAATCCTATCGATAAATACGGAGTAGATATACTCCTTCGCCACATTATCATTGCTCCACGGTATTGCTTCATGGGTCCTATCCCACCGAGAATTATGGAGAGTATTTACCTGTTCCATGTTATCGCTCTGTGAGTCTTATCTATGATGGAGCATCTTTACTCCTTCTACATGTTATCGCTCCATAAGTCTTATCCTACCGATAATTACGGAGCACATTTACACCTTCCTCCCCCTTATCCTTGCTCCACGTTATCACTTTGTGGGTCGTATCCTACCGATAATTATGGAATGTATTCCTTATTTCCTACCGCTATCTTTCTACCACTAGTTACAGATCATATTTATTCTTTATTTTATTTCACATTGACGCTGGATAGATAATCCTACCGATAAATACGGAGTAGATATACTCCTTCGCCACATTATCATTGCTCCACGGTATTGTTTCATGGGTCCTATCCTACCGAGAATTATGGAGAGTATTTACTCTTTCCTCCAGTTATCTCTATTCCATGTTATCGCTCTGTGAGTCTTATCTATGATGGAGCATCTTTACTCCTTCTACATGTTATCGCTCCATAGTTCTTATCCTACCTATAATTACATAGTAAATCAGTCATTCCTTTGTTTATTTATATTTGACATTATCGCTTCTTGGGTCTTATGCCATGAAAAATTATGGAGCATATTTACTCCTTCCTCTTGTTATCCATGTTTATGTTGTCCAGTCGGCAATTACTGAGCATATTTACCGCCTCCTCTCGTTATCTTTGCTTAACAATATCGATCTATAGGCCTTATGCAAACAATAATTATGGAGCATTGTCACTTGTGAGCTGCGTTGGGTTTTTCCTCGAAGAAGAAGGGATAAGCAATGTAATAGCAGATAGTATTCCCCTCAATAGAGAACCAAGGTTATCGAACCAATAGGCGATTCACACAGACAAAGGTCGACCGTACATACACACACAAACAAAATACTTGCACCCACCATAGACAAGAGGGTTGTCAATCCCCTTGTACTCGTTAATTGCAAGGATTAATCCTGATAGTGATATAATTTGCAAAAGGAAATAAAAGTAAATAAATTCCAGCGAGCTTTTTAGGGTTTTAGTAAATATGATCAATAGACCCGGGGACCATAGTTTTCAATAGAGACATCTCTCTCAAGAACATAGCATACAGTGGGTAGACAAATTATTGTTGGGTAACTGATAGAAAAATGCATAGTTATGACGTTTATTCATGGCATGACCAGTACATAGGCATTACGTCCGTAATAAGCAGACCGACATCCATCTGCATGTACTACTATTACTCCACTTCAAGAGCGCTTCTATGCTTGCCTCTCTACGTATTAAGTTCATAACAAACAGAGTAATGCTTGGAGCATGATGACATAATATAGACAAAATAAGACCAATCAATATGATCGAACCCTGTCGTTTTACCCTTAGTATCAACAA